ATTTGTAATTTTTCTACTTTTTGGCTATTACAATTGCTGTTATGAACATTCAGATTTAAGCTGTAATGTGGGTATATGTTTTGTTTATGTATTTATGAGTGGAATTGCTGGTTTATTCTGGAACTGCTTAACTTTTTAAGGAACTCTTCTAGTGCCAGGTTATTTTCCAGTTGCAACATTGTGTTTTCTTCTAACAATATATGAAGGTTGCAATTCTCCATATCTTGACAGCACTAACTATTGTCCCTCACTTGAATTGTCCTAGCATCCTTTCAAGTCAATTGGCCATACATGTAAAGATTTATTTCTGGGTTCTTAATTTTGATAAACATGTCTATTCTTATGCTGGTGCTACCTGTTCTTGATTCTAGTATCTTAAGTTTTTTTTTTATTTTATTTTATTTTTTTTTTGGTCCGGTCGTGGGGCCTGAACTCTGGGCCTGGGCGCTGTCCCTCAGCTCTTCAGCTCAAGGCTAGCGCTCTACCACTTGAGCCACAGCACCACTTCTGGCTTTTTTCTTTTTGCTTATGTGGTGCTGAGGAATCGAACCCAGGGCCTCAGGCATGCAAGGCAAGCGTTCTACCACTGAGCCAACTTCCCAGCCCCCAGTATCTTAAGTTTTTAAATCAGGAGTATGAGTCTAATTGGTGATGTAGTTTAGTGACTAAAGTGCTTGCCTAACATGCATGAGGCGCTGGGCTCCAACCCTAATACCAAAAAGGAAAAAAAGTCTAAGTCTTACATTGGAGATTGTTTTGGCTATTCTAAGTCTCTTGGATTTTTATAGGAATTTCAGAATCAGTTTAACTTTTTTTTTTTTTTTTTTGGTCGGTTGTGGGGCTTGAACTCTGGGCTTGGGCACTGTCCCTCAGCTCTTCAGCTCAAGGTAAGCGCTCTACCGCTTGAGCCACAATGCCACTTCCGGTTTTCTAGTGGTTCATTGCAGATGAGAGTCTTATGAACTTTCCTGCCGGGGCTGGCTTTGAACTGTGATCCTCAGATCTCAGCCTCCTGAGTAGCTAGGATTATAGGCGTGAGCCACCGGGGGAGCCTGACTCAGTTTAACTGTTTTTAAAGGGATTATTTTAAATCTGTAGATTCTTTAAATCTGTAGATTCATTTTAAGCATATTAACCTTGTTAACAATGCTAGGTAATTTAGTGTTGCATTTTTTAAATTAAATTTATTTTGCTAAATTTTCTAGTATATTTCTAAGCTTTTAATATTATTACAGTTACTCTCAATTTTGTTATCAAATTACCTTTTCATAGAGTATAGAAATAAAATCATCAGTCCATTATCCTTTAATCTTGTTATATCTGTGTATGACTTTCTTTTTTTCTGCAGTATAATGAATTGAACTTAGGGCTGGTACTTTTGCTCTAACATTTGACCCACACCCACATTTCTGCTTTTTTTTTTTTAATCTAGTTTCTTGACTATGCGTATTCAGGCCTTTGGTATCCTTTTATTTTTTTTCTAATTAATTCATTTTTAAGGCTACACCTTTTCTTGTCATTCCTGCTTTAGCCACAAGTATTTTGATCCAGAGTATTACAATTGATTTATTTTGAATTCAGCAACCTTTTTTTTCAATTAGTAAGATACAATTTTTAGTTATTTAGGAGGTTATATTAGTTGCATTGAGATTAGTGTGATTTCTGGGCACTGGTGGCACATGCCTGTAATCCTAGCTATTCAGGAGGCTAAGAACTGAGGATTGTGGTTCAAAGCCAGCCCAGCCTGGAAAGTCCATGACACTCCAAAATTAACCACTTAAAAACTGGAAGTGGCACTGTGGCTCAAAGAATGGTAGAGTGCTAGCTTTGAGCACAAAAGCTCAGGGACAGGCCCTACAGGACCAACAAAAACAAGAGATTGGTATGATTTTTCTTTTCTTTTGAGGTCATAATTGTTCTTTTAAGTTAGGCTTCGTCAAGTTAGGCTTCTCCCCAAGAACAGAAAAAAATGTATTTTTTTGTCATAAAAACCTTAAGCCAATTGGGACTACAGTGTGCCATGCTTTTATTGGACAGTGTAGACAGAAAAGCTTTGCTCTATTCATAGTAGATCATACCTTACCAATAAAACTTCCTCGCTGACTAGGAAGTGAAATTTATGCTCACTGATTATATTCAGAAGCATTCTTACATGTCTTTGTAGCCACACATAAGAAGAATAATTCACCCAAGCCAGCTCGGTGCAGCATAGCAGGTAATCTATCACTTCGAAGAGCAGTGGACTCTGGGGAAAATAGTTGTTCAAAAGGAGACCGTCAGACCTTGTCTGAAGGTAAGTTTTGGGGTTCAGAACATGATTTCAGTAGAGAGATGTGTATAAATTAATATTATGATGTAGCTTTCATTCTTTAAAGGCACCAAAAATGCTTAAGTTATATTGAAGTCATTCTTCCTGCCTCAGCTTCCCAAATGTTTTAATTATAAGGTGTCTATCACCACATTGGGCCACTTGAAATTTCTTGATCCTACACTAAAACAGACCCTTAGAAAACTGCAAACATCGGCCTGGGAAGGTGACTCAGTGGTAGAATGCTTGTTTTGTATGCATGAGGCCCTGTGTTTGATTCCTCAGTACCACATAAACAGAAAAAGCTGGAAGTGGCACTGTGGCTCAAGTGGTAGAGCACTAGCTTTGAGTTGAAGAGCTGAGTGACAGTGTCTAGGCCTAGAGTTCAGGCCCCACAACCGACAAAACAAAACAAAACTGCAAACATGCCAGGTGCTGGTGGCTCACGCCTTTAATCCTTGTGACTCAGGAGCCTGAGATCTGAGGATCATGGTTCAAAGCCAGCTTGGGTGGGAAAGTCCATGAGACTCTTCTCTCCAGTAAACCAATATAAAACTAAAGTGGTCCTGTGGCTCAAGTGGTAGAGCGCTTGCTTGCCTTGAGCTGAAGAGTACAGGGACAGTGCCCAAGTCCAGAGTTCAAGCCCCATGCCTGACCAAAAAAAAAAAAAATATCCTGCAAACATTTGACTGTCTATTCCAGACTCTGACTTTTAAATACTTGGTATCAAAAGGACTGATACACATTTTAAATTGTGTTCTGAGTAGTTTTCAGATGCATATATATTAAGATTTTCTACACCAGCAAAACTTTCATGATTATTTAATGCTTATTTATTTCTGAATATCCTTCTTTTCTGAAGGCTCCACAGGCAATTCTCAGTCTGGGAGCAGGCACAATTCTCCCCGAGCCTTGACACATGGCATTATTGGGGACATTCTGCCCAAAACTGAAGACCGTCAGTGTAAAGCTTTGGATTCAGATGCTGTTGTGGTTGCAGTTTTCAATGGCTTGCCAACTGTTGAGAAAAGAAGGAAAATGGTCACCTTGGGGTAAATTAAGTTCTTTATTGTTCTTTTGACTGTGCCATAATGAAAAAAATTAATTTTCTACTTAGTTTATTTTTTAGATAGGCACACATTGGCTTAAAAAGTAGCTTTCCAGCTGGGCGCCTGTGGCTCATGCCTGTAATCCTAGCTACTGAGGAGGCTGAGATCTAAGGATCATGGTTCAAAGCCAGCCTGGGCAGAAAAGTCCCTGAGACTCTTACCTCCAATTAACCACTTAGAAAACTGGAAGTGGGGCTGTGGCTCAAGTGATAGAGTGCTCGATTTGAGCTGAAGAGTGCAGGGATAGTGCCCAAGCCCAGAATTCAAGCCCCACAACTGACCCCCCCCCAACAAAAAAAGTAGCTTTCCTTTCTGTTTTTCTTTGTTTTGTTGTCTCTCTTTCGTAATATGAAAGAAAATGTCCTTAATTCAGAATTTTCTGAAAGGATATATAATAGTTGACACTTAATCTCTATCCCAAGGAACATAATCATTTTGACCAAATCGTATCCTTTTTTTTTTGTTGTTGTTGTTGGTCGTGGGGTTTGAACTCTGGGCTTGGGCACTGTCCTTGTGCTCTTCAGCTCAAGGCGAGCATTCTACCGCTTGAGCCACAGCACCACTTCCCGGTTTTCTAGCAGTTTATTGGAGATAATAGTTTCACGAACTTTCCTGCCCAGGCTGGCTTTGAACCGTGATCCTCAGATCTCAGCCTCCTGAGTAGCTAGGATTACAGGTGTGAGTCACCGGTGCCGGTGCAAATCGTATCTTTTAAATGAAGTTTAATTGACAAGGTTTATGTTAACATCTCATGGGACATAAATGGCTCAAGAATAGCTTGAAGGGGGCTGGGAAGGTGGTTCAGTGGTAGAGTGCTTACTTTGTATGCATGAGGCCCTGGGTTAGATTCCTTAGCACCACATAAGCAGAAAAAACTGGAAGTGATGCTGTGGCTCAAGTGGTAGAGCGTTAGCCTTGCAGGGAAGAACTGAGGGACAGTGTCCAGACCAGAGTTCAGGCTCTATGACTGGCGGGGGAAAAAAAGGGAATAGCTTGAAGTTTTTATTTTTAGTTTACATTTCAGTATTAGAAAGGTATTAAAATCACAGGAGAACATGTGGTGCATATCTGTAATCCTAGCACCCAGCAGGCTGAGACAAGATGAGCACAAGTTCTAGGCCAGCCTTGGAGCAACTTAGCAAGATTCTATCCCAAAGTAAAATTTTAGGAAAGGACTGGAGATAGAGCCAGTGGTGGAGGCTTACTTAGCATGTGTGAGGCCTTGTGTTCAATCCACTGCATTGAAAAGAAAAAAAAAATCACTACAATTATCTTGTTTTCTCCAATATTTAGCCTGATATTGTTAAACATTCTTTTTAAGTTAAAGCTAGTCCACCCCTCCCTCTCCTCCCCTCCCTTACCCTTTCCTTCCCTTCCCTTCCTTCTGTCAGTTCTGGGGCTTGAACTCAGAGCCTGGGGACAGGCTTAGCACTCTTACCACTTGAGCCCCAATACCACTTCCAGCCTTTTCTATGTACGTGGTACTGAGGAATTGAATCCAGGACTTCATGCATGCTAGGCAAGCAGTATACCACATAGGCACATTCCCAGTCCCAAACTAGATTTCCTTATTTTTCTTTTTTCTTTCTGGTCCTAGGCTTGAACTCTGGACCTGGGCTCTGTGCCTAAGCCTCTTTATGCTCAAGGCTAGCGCTCTACCATTTGAGCCACAATACCACTTCTGGCTTTTTCTGAGTGGTTTATTGGAGCGGAATCTCAAGGACTTTCCTGCTTGGGCTGGCTTCAAACTGTGATTTTCAAATCTCAGCCTCGGTGTGAGCCACCAGTGCCCAGCTATAGATTTTCACACACTTCTCTCTCTTTCT